TATACTACTGATGACTGGATGAAGAGTAGGATATTGTAGGGCAACAACCCACCCCCCAACTTAAAACTGACCAATATCCCACAGAAGTTTTTATAAAATAATTTTTTTTCATGAATCTCAGTTGTGAGCAATAGTATCCTAGTTGACAATAAAACATTATTTGTCTATGAAAATGTAAGATTGTAATTCCCTACAACTTCACTCAGTTTATTGAACCAAACATTTTCATCTTGCTACATTTATCATCTTGCAAGAAAACCTAGAATCAATTCAAATTTGTCTTATTACAGACATATGTTTGTTAATTCAGAACTCACAGATACAGGTTGGAGAGAAAGCCCAATTAAGTTGTATGTGAATTGCTGTCAGTCCTCATATACCACATTCAGAAATATTCCCTTTTGAGAAATGAGTTAGTTAATTGTATTAATAAAGAGAATGGGGGCTTTTTAAAATAAAGCCATATAAAGGAGAGACGGCTGCAGGTTGTTAAACAAAAACTTTTATCAGAAAGTGGAAAAGAAAGGAAGGAAGGAAGGAAGGAAGGAAGGAAGGAAGGAAGGAAGGAAGGAAGGAAGGAAAAGGTTTAGTGATAGGGATAAGGAAAATTCTGGCGAGAAGGGGATGGCAGCAATGCGATCGTTCGGAATCCCACTGCCCAGATTCCGCAGTCTTCCAGCAGCGCCCGCAAGAAACCCGCAAAGGGGGTTCCCGGTCTCTCTGCGTCGCTCCCCCCAACTCCTTTCCTTCCGCGGGCCGGGAGGGAAAGGTGGTCGCGCGCCCTCGCCCTCACCTGCGCTTGTGGCGGAGATTGAGCGCGATCCAGGGCACGAAGCGATACTTGTAGGACTCCCAGCGCCTCCGCAACCCTCCTAGCATGGCGGGGCCGCGCCGGCAAACCACCCCGCCGCCCGAAATCAGAAAGGAGGCGCGCCGCAGCGGACGAATAAAAAATGTGTCTGTGTGAACGTGCTCCCGTCAATCTCGAAGGTGGCTCTCAATTTCTTGGGGGGGAAGCTAATCTGCCTTTCGCCAATATGCTTCACCGTGATGGGGGAACATAACCCCCAAATAAAAGCGCTTAATCCCAACTCGCCCTTCCAGATCTGGGCCTCTCCAATTTGCGGAAAGAATCCTCCGGAACCAAACTTGAGACGGGCAGTTTCCCGGGACTTATTTGAAGGCGGGGATGCTGGACAAGTCGGTAGAAAGTTTGCGCTCTGGTTTCTGTGCCTCTCTGGATAAAATCTGGGGCAGATCCGAATGGTGGCCAACAATTGCTTACAGGCTTGCTTAGGAGCGGAATACTTAGCTTTGCGTTAAAGGGTTGTGCGCTCAGGGCTCCTGTGAGCAGTGGAGTTTTCCAGAGTTGGTCGTTAGCGATTAGGAGTGCTTGTTAGCAACAGCCAGCCGTCAGCCGGCGCGAAAATGGATGAGTTAAAATCTTGATTCTTCGAATGTTAGTTGAACTAATGAGAGCCTTTTGTACAGGTAGTCCTCGGCTTACATTTCCTTTAGTGACCAAAGTTTACAACGTCCCTGAAAAAAGGGGCTTATGACGTTTTTCAGTTGTAACCTTTGCAGCATGCCCATAATCATGGGATCAAAATTCGGATGCTTGGCAACTGGTTCATATTTATGACCGTTGCTGTGTCCCAAGGTCATGTGGATCCCCTTTTGTGACCTTCTGACAAGCAAATTTAATAAGGAAACCGGATTCACTTACCAGCCGAGTTACTAACTGATCAGCGGCAGTGATTCACTTAATAACTGTGGCAAGAAAGGTAGTAAATGGGGACGAAACTCATTTAAGAAATGTGTCACTTAACAGAAATTTTGGGCTCCATTATGGTCGTAAATCAAGGATTACTTGTAGTTCCCCCTTTCAGTTGAATAAGAGAATGTAGGCCCAACTCCCCCCCCCTTTTTTTTGTAATGGAAGATACTATGAAACTTCCTGCCCTTTGAAATTCGATCAGCTTTTTATTGTAATCATTTAATGAACCAGTTAATCAACTATTTTATTTATTTAAAACATTTACCGGTATATAGCCTCCCAGCTTTCCACCATTAACCTTTATGAAACTTTAAAAATTAAAGTGTTTCAGAGATATTGCCTTGTTGTTTTGTTTTGTTCACTTTCTGATTTTGTTTACAGTATTTTTAAAATATACATTTTATTGAGATTGTAAGCCTCTGTATCTATCAACTGAAAATTGAATGAATACTACTTATTAGCCATAAATAATAAAGGGATAGTTCCCTCCATATTTTAGCAGAAGACCAAGCAAAGAAATAGAGCAAGGTGGAAGGAAAGAGAATCAATGGCAGGGTGGATGAACCAGTGGTGGTGGGTACATTGTAGAACTTGAAAGACCAGGTTAGGGGCAGACATTGATGAAGAAAAATCCATGTAATTGTTAACGGTTGACATTGACTTGAAGGCAATAATCAGTCAATGCCTACTGAATTGATCTCATATAATGCTGTATTTCAACTTTTCAGGTAGCATGGCAATAATTGTGGGCACAGGTATACTTCGTGGAAATTAATTCAATAAACAAAATGCTTGGCAAATTATGTCTATAGTACGAGTCACAAATCTGAGATATTCATAAAAACCAGAGCACGGTCAAGCTGCACTCTCTGCTTTCCCCCTGTGTAAAAAAGCCTTTAGAGCCAGCAATCACACCATCTGGAGGGATGCTGAAGAGTGATAGGCATACCCTTTTCGGCTTCCCAGACCCTTTGAGTAGAGCAATTAGTTGGTTGCCACACCGCAGATTCTGCCTTCTGCATTAGTTGACTTCAACTGTCCCCTCTCTGGTGATTTGGACTGTATTTTATGTAAAGGATGTCTCAGTCTTACTTGGTAGGTACCATGTGTGCACGAGGAAGCTGCCTGTCATCAGTAGGATTCAAGTAGCCTTTGGACAAAGTTGAGAGAAAGGTGACTGGTCACAAAGGAGCTCCTTTTGCTGAAGAATTACAACAGTAGTGCTTCACCTCTTAAGAAACCAGGAGGAGACATTCCTTCTCAACACTGTTGTGCTCTCCTGGCTCCTTGGTCATCCTCCAATCAGCTGGAGCTGATAATCCTGGCAGTTTTATAATCCCACTAATTGGCCAAACAGAGTTAAGTATCCCCCTCCCCCTTCCTGGTTTGTCTTCGGGAACTTTATTTATATACAGGTAGTCCTTGACTTACAACTGTTTGTTCAATGATGATTCATAGCTACTATGGTAGTCTCAGAAGAAGTATTTTATGACATGTATTCACACACACTCACACCCTCCTCATGGTCACATGATCACAATTTGGGCACTTGGCACCTGGCACTCTTTTGGACAAAGTTTAGAGAAAGATGCACTTGGCACCTTTTTGACCACTGACAGGATCATATGGTCACGTGACCACGATTTGCAACATTTTTATGCATTAAGCATTTATTTAAGCATTTATTGAGAAGCTGGATTCGCTTAATAACCATGTGATTTGCTTAACCACAGTGATTCATTTTATAACTACCATAAGAATGGCTGTAAAATCCGTCCTAGTCACATTTGACTCGATTTACAACTGAAATTTCAGTCCAAAATGTGGTCGTAAACCAAGAACCTGCTTTCAAATTAAAGGCTTCAGAACTCTTAAAACAGCTCTGGTGAGTTACAAACCACCGAACAATAAAAAAATACAAATCATACATCCAGAAGACAAACTATACGTAAGAAGATTTTGCATAATGATTCAACAACCACTCTACTTCAAGCTCTTGGAGAATAATAGCCAGGTTTCAAACGGCTTTCTGAATATCTTTCTGAATACAATGGGAGCTATATACCATAGGTCTCTGCAGGATGCTTATTCCACAGGCTGACTCTACAACAGAGATCAAAAATGTGTAAAATGGCACTTGGCACTGGGTGCCTTCTGACAGAATGTTGCTGCCAACACCTCTTAACTAATCTGCCATCTATGTGAGAAACAGCAAATGCTGCAAAGTAGCTTTTTCATTATAAAAGAGGTGTGCCTAGAGGTGGGCTGCTGCCGGTTTGTATTGGTTCATGCAAACCAGTAGTTCCGACCAGTGGGTGCGGGTGGACCCACTCACTCGACCCGGGACTATACCGCCCTACATCACCGTGATTTTGAAGCCGTGTGCATGCACACTCACATTTTCAGTGCTGGGCAAACCGGTTGTTACATTATGTGACTACCCACCTCTGGCCGCCCCCATGGTTTCACCTCTCCTCAATGCTTGGAGATTCTGTTGTAGACATAGGAGATGAGGGCTTTGGGCTTCAAGGACATATTAATACGACTTAAATGGAAAACAGTAAACAGGACCTGTTCTGGTTAGAACTTGTGTAGGTAGAGAGGGAAGGGAAGGTTGAATACAATCTTATAGGGAAGCTAATTTGTCCAGAAGCTACAGCTGTAGGTGAGATCTCACAGGTCCATCAGATGTATACTCAAAGTTGAATTAATCTTAGAATTTGCTCCCACGCTGCCACGGATGAGCCAGCAGCAAAGTCTGAATTTTCTACAGTTACTTTTATAAAGAGAAAATTTCAATCCAAAATAAATATGGAACAAGAATGAGCATGGTAGCCTTAAAAAATAAAATCCAAATTCCAAGAATTATGAAAAACTAAAGCAAGTTCCCAGTTCCCATTAAAAATATAATTTTATAAAGCTGCAAGCTTCTATCATTGCAACCCCAACAAAATCAGTAGTTTTTAATTCGTCACATTCATTGATGGGTTTGAAAGCTTTAAGAATCCTTAGCCTACAGGAATATGTAGATAAAGCAGTTATAGATTTTTGTTTTAGCAGTTATAATTCCAAATACAAACTGCTTCTAAGACCAAGGAGCAGAAACAATGACATCCTTATCTGCAGGCACTTTTCAGACCACATAATAGGTTACAAGATCTTGTTTGCTTAAAGGAAAATACATTAAACACAGTAATTCCAGGAAGTAAGAAAGTCAACGTAATTGCATTCAAAAAAGGACAAGTTTTGTCCAAAATCTTTTATTTACTATAAAGACAAAACCACCAAAATAGGTACAAATTATACTATAAAATTGGTTCAAAGGGGTAAAAACTTTTAATTAAAATATCTTGATATATTTAAAATAACAAAGATAATGAAGCCAAATTTTCTTAACCCAGAGATCTTTAAAATTTACTTGCACAGTAAGGTGCTAAGAAGTTAGCCCTTAAGCCCTGGAACTCTTAGGAATCAGTCACATAGCAAATATAATTTCAATGTGAAAGTGAACTTTGGTAGAAGAAAATCTATAGGATACCTGAGGTAGTAGAAACTGGAATAAACAGCAGTAGACGTTATTTACAACTTAGGTACCAAATAACATTAAGAGCACAAAAATAATTACATAATACAATTTTCAGTCCAGCTTTGATCCAAAGAAAATAAGATTACATCACATCTGCATTTAAAAACACAATTACCAGCAAGCAGAGGAAAATGCAAACAAACTCAAAGAATGCTTTTAGACAACTAGAGGTGGTCCAAGTTTGATATGTGAAAGACATGGTGATCTAGAAGGATAATACTGATTAGCTTGAGGTTTGTCAGTTTATATAATTGACATTTAAGTCCAAAATTGTATTTATCTGACAAGCGATCTTCCAGTACATGAATTGGCAAGAGTGCATCCTTTAAAGCTTGCACAGAAGAAACGTAAAAACAATATGATTGGAATAAAGACAAATTCTAAAATGTCAAGAAACAAGTCAAATACAAACAAAGCTACAAAACTTCACATTTAGATTTTTTTAACTCTTCAAAGTCTCCCAATAATAATAATAAAAAAGCAAAGGAATGTAACATTTCAAGAAGAAATACACATCCATCTTTAATGACATTGCTCTTGATTAACTTTAGCAATGGTCATTGTGTAAACCTCCATTAACTTTGTTTCCAATTTTAAAAAATTGTACATTGCCTTAATTGTACAGTATTATAGCTTATCAAGTTTGTCCTGAGCCTTTGATCATAACCAATTTCTGATCAATATTTCAACTGGCTTCTGAAGAGTTAAAATTGGAACAGTTATTTTTAACAGAAGTTGATTAAACACAATCAAAACTTTACTTCAAAAAAATTGCCAGAAAGTAAAAGAAGAGCTGCCATTTTCCTTCAATATCCCATTCATCAGAATTTAAAAACCTGCCATTGAAATCATCAATGGCACTTTTTTTTTTAAAAGTTCTGCATTCTTGGTGCAAAAATATTTCAAGGCTATTTAATTTCATTGCATAAAAATTTAAACACAACTTTTTAAATGGCTCTTTTCCATTTTAAAAGATAGTTCCCAATAACTTAATTGTCAACTTTTATGTATTTATTTTTCGTATTACCACCCTGCCATAATCCAAATTGTAAATGAAGGGGCTGTGCAAGGAACATGCTTCAAGGCCATACGATCGGCTTGTCGTCTGTAGCTGCAATGTCATGCCCACTGACTCATTCCCAATTTTAGAACCCCTCCACTTGTTTTTAAGGGAAGACACCTAAATAAGCAATAATGTCTTCTCCTGTTTTTTGTTTTAATTAAAATAGGATTCTATTTTCAGGGAAGGCTGTTAATGTGGGGATAAAGTCACAGTTCGTAGGAATTGTTTCTGGGGGTTTCAGGCACGACTCTTTACAAGTGCCCATGATGTATTTCTCCTTATCTGAATGGGTTCACACCAAGTCAGAGCACAGCCCCAGTAAAAAGATGACAAATGGCATAAGGAAAACAGCAGGAAAAACAGCAAACATAATGCAATGCTAAGAGTAAGGCTGAATTTAAAGCTTCAGCTTTAAATAGAAGAGAAATTGGGTATCAGAAGGCAGTATGACACAATACTCCTTTCTACCACAATGTTACCATGAGCTGTGATATTAAAAAGGGCTTCAAAACAGAACATTCACTTGGTCCTTGGCTATGAAGTTCTGTTATTCAAAAAAACTTGTGCACTCCTACCCCAATAACACATCTTGTTAAAAACACTGACTCAGGGGCAGCATTTTATAGCAGGTTTCAAACCAATTTTAACCATATTCTTTTCAGTAAGCTGTCCAGCAATAATTAGCTTGAACTTAATTCTAGCTACTTGGGTTTCTTTTAAAAACATTTTTCCCTGAATGTGAAGAAAAGATAAAATGAAACTACACAGTGGTAACTTCCAAAGGACAGTTACAAGACTAATAGTAAGCAAGTCAACCACAGCTGCCATACTTAGTGACTAAAGCAGGCAAAGGTGATTTTCTTTTTCCAAATTTTCTTTTTCCACATAAAGAACAAGTTTCACCATAATATAGACACGAACTTTCTTTAAAATTGATTGTTGGAATTTGCATGTTCTGAAAAACAACAACACAGTGATAAGTTTTTAAATGGCTTTTTAGCCACTCAAATGCTAATATCGCTGAAGAAATGCTTTAAAATAAAGTTTTTTAAAAATCACGTTTTCCACTAAATAATCATGCAGATCTAAAAGAGGAATTGCTTCTCTGTTCATGAACAGACACATCTTTGAGAAAGGCACAGTTTACATATTTCTGCACAATTTGTGAAATGTTACACATATTGAACTTATGTCAAGATCTCGATTTGTCAGTCACATACATATAGGTCCTCTACTGACCTCAAGTCCTCAAAACATATAATTAAGGCCGGCAAAGCAATTAATACACATTGCTATGCAAACCTGCACAGGAAGACCAGCACTTTATATTTTCAGTAGCATCAAGTTCAGTGTATCCCCAGTTTTCTACAACTACCACATAGTGCGAAAGACAGGGTGTTTTAACAACTCCCTTGCTGGGGGTCTGTCCTGAGGTTGGAGCTCCAAACATCGAAGTGCCACATCCCTTAAGCCTGGAGTCAAATGCAGTGGGATTGTTGGAGCTGTAGTTGCACTAGCAATCTACAATTAAACAGAAAATAATAATTACACAAAAAAGCCCAAAACAACAGATTATATTCTGCAGAGCATCTTAGTATTTGCACTGCTGACAATGTACACATTAAGTTTATTACAGTTGATTCTCCTTATTTGCAGATTCCATATTTATGAATTCGCCTACTTTTTCAAATTTATTTATAACCACAAAATCAAGAGTTATGGTCTTTTGCAATCATTTGTGGACGTGCAAAACAAACAAAAAATTGAGTCGCTCTACACAGACATTCCCAGCTGAGGTTTCAGTATTCAAAACTTCAGTGTCTGCGGCAACTTATAGAACAGAACTACCAAAAATCGTAAGAATTGACTATATATTGACAGTATAAATACATGTGTTAATGGTGGAGGATATATGCATACTTTGCAGCACATTTTCAGACTGTTCAGTAATTAATCCCTGAGACACAATAGGCAAGAAGCAGTGGTGGAATTCAAAAATTTTTACTACCTGTTCTGAGGGCGTGGCTTGGTGTGGCTTGGTGGACATGGCAGGGGAAGGATACTGTAAAAATCTCAATTCCCTCCCCACTGCAGGGGAAGGTTACTGCAAAATCTCCATTCCTTCCCAATCAGCTGGGACTCGGGGGGTGGGGCCAGTCAGAGGTGGTATTTACCAGTTCTCCGAACTACTCAAAATTTCTGCTATCGGTTCTCCAGAACTGGTCAGAACCTGCTGAATACCACCTCTGGCAAGAAGACATTTGCTCTGTTTTTCTTTTCTTTTTCTTTTTCACTGCTATTTTTTAAACTACTGGAATTTATTCCTACCCCTTTAAAAGTAAAATAATAAATTGGAATCCTTGCATATGATGTGGCTATTACAGAAAATGTTTCTCAAATGGACAGAATTCTTAAAATATAAGAGATTCCTAATCACCTTTTGAAAAGGATATATAATGTTCTTCACATCCTTTAGTTTATGTACATGATTATCATTTAGCCTAATCCAGCTATCTGCTGCAAATTCCTTTCCTCTCAAGTTCTAATGACAAATTTACACTGCACTCTTGGGCATGTCAATGGCCTTTGAATGGAAGAAGCTCTCAGTGCATTTCCTCAACTATAGGCTTTACACGTTTTCTCTTACGGATCATTTTACCTTAAATATCAAAGCAAGATGATTGGAATGTTTCTCTGCGTTCCAGGGAGGCTTAGCGCAAGCCATTTCTATAATAGCACAGCCGACACTCCACACATCACAGCTTCTGCCATACTGTTGGCCTCTTAACACCTAAGAGAGGAAAAAATAAATGAGATTAACTTTTATTCATCAATGGAGCATCTTTAAAAAAAACAGTGTAAAATGCTTTATCATGAGATTAGCCTAAAATAGTAGGACACCATCATAAAATGTCACAAGAGATTCTTTTATTTCAGTATCCATAAACACTGTCCCTGAAAATATTACTCTTACTATTAACCCCTGCAAATTCCAGATCAGAGCATAAATGTCAACTTTATAGATTTTCTTCAGCTTTTGCTATATTTTAGAAATTCCATGAAAATTAAAAACTTGTTCCTGTGAGACCAGTGGCCCCATTAACTTTCTTTGAAGGAAATGGAGGACTATTTGTGGTTCCCAAAGTGCATTAATCATTTATGTATTTTTGGGAATTCTTTGTTTAAGAGCAGCTGTCTAACATGAACTCTGCTTGACAGCAAAGAAAGAAAATGCCAGTTGTATTAGGGGAGACAAGTCAAGGTATTTTTCTATTTATTTCCAGAACAATGTTTCTTAAAACACAAGCAGCAATGCTCACTTGTAGCTTGGTCTTAAAGGATACTTCACATATCATCACAAAACAGGCAGGTCCACTAATATTATAATGGGGAAGAGGCTTTTAAAACTAACATTGAAAGAACTTTGTACCTACATACAGGGGAGAAGAATTCAGATAAATGAAAATGTAGATGCAACTTCCTGATTTGGGACACCATTTCATATTACTATGGTGATACGGTCATTAACTATTTCAAGTTAAGAAAAAACTGAGCAAGGATATTGGGATATGATTATGGCTGGTATTGCCATACAAATTATGCATATGTCTTTGGATGATGTCCCGATACATAGGTCAAGGGTGGGAAACTATGGCCCTTTTATGACTTGTGGACTTCAAGTCCCAGAATTCCTGAGCCAGCCATGTTCCCCACCTCTGCCATAGGTGGTAGATGAATGTTAAATTATTCAAAGTCAATCAAACTCTGAATATTGAGAGGGCAAAAATGGGAACTATTTCAATCAGTTCTTGTCAATTTCTTTGAAATAGGTGGCTGGTTGGCCTATGTGAGAATCATGAAATTGGATTTTGGCTTGATCAAGGAAGGCTCTTCTCATATTCATGTACTCTCCCAAATAAGCGTTCATGGAATTAAAGAAAGGTTAAGTTAAAAGTTGTTAATATCTCTTTTCCCAAGATGAAATCTTACCTCTGGTGCCATAAATGCAATCGTCCCCAATAACTGTCCTTGAAATTCTCCAGCACCAGTTCCTTTTGATGCCAATCTAGCTGCAGCTCCAAAATCAGCAATTCTTAGCCTATGACCTGTGCTATCAATTAACAAGTTGGCACCTGTTGGCATTATTAGAAAGGCAATTAAGTGATGAAAGAATGCAAATGCATTTGTGTTAGAAAATGAAAAAAATGAACTATTTTTCTTTATTTAATAAAGTAAATTCTAGGGTAATTTTAAATATATGCTGCAGTCTACATTGTTGAATTATATATATAAAGGTTTGCATAATAATAATAATAATGGAATATACGATAAATTAGAATCAAAGGACAGAATAACAATCTTGATATTTGAACAGTTTTAGACGCAAGGCTTTTTTATTGCTGTTGGATATGTCTATTAGAGTTGTTCCCAAATTTTATTATGATTTCTAAGTTAAAAGAAATAGTAAGAAAGCAACAACTAAATACAATGTTTTTGTGTGTGTGTATGTGTAAATGCCCCAAACTCTATGGCCTCCCCATGATACACAAAGAAGGAACACCACTCAGACCCATAGTCAGCTCCATAGGCTCACCTCTACAGAATCTTGCCAAATTCCTTGCCAAACAACTCCAACCCTATGCAGAATCCATCACCTCACCCGTACAAAACTCACTCCACTTCATAGAAATAATAAAGAAACAAAACCTACAACCCAGCGACCTACTAATGAGCTTCGATGTCATATCCCTCTTCACCCAAGTGCCTATAAAAGAAGCCTTGACAG